TGATCCACCTATTAGGCATCTCCATAATGAACAGACCACCGCTTTAGGCCTCAGTAGCGGCCAGTGTCTATAAACGGCGGGAGCCCGCTATTGGAAAACAAATAATAATAATAATAATAATAATAATAATAATAATAATCTGAAATGTAAAATCTGAAAGACTTCAGGGGAGCGTTTTTTAAACGTTTTGCGTGTTACCTTTATTTATTAAATACGATGTTCTTCGCACTTAAACCATAAAATGATGTTCAATAGCAATGTCGCAAAATAATTTTAAAATGAGCATACTTTTAGAATTTCGGATACACAGTTCCGCGCGCTGGACTTAAAAAGGTGTCTTTTTTTTCCACGTAGAGTGTTGCCATTGCTCGCTTTGAAATCCTTGAGTTTGTTAATCAAAAATTCGTTAAAGTTTTACAAAATATGAAATCGATAATAAAACAAATTCCAAATTTGGGCTTCCAGATGCCCATATTCGGAGGAGGATTACGTTATTCAACATTTGATGGCTGTAAGTGCCGTTGTTTTATCACAATGCGAAAAACATACACAAATTTATGCAGATTCTTCATTATTTCATTTCTTTAAATATCATACAGGGCGATAATAATTGGTGGCAACAATTTGAAAAGTGAAACAACGCTTATAGTGAATCAACGCAAAATGCCAAAACGAAATTAATAGTCCTTCTGAGCAAATTGCCCCTTTGGACTAAAAATAATTAATTAAACCATTTAATGTCGTTAATGAATCGAATTTTGTAACATTCAACAAAAGAATGACATTAAATTCTGTTGAGAGTACCGCTTCTGAAAGTAACTAGTACTTCTAAGGATAATATAAATACTAGATCCCTTTCACCTATTGCTTTCATCCAGAAGTAGTATCGATATTTCTTGAAGAGTGATATATAACCGGCTAGAATACTATTCATTCATCAGTTTTGTGAACGTGTTTAAGCTATATTTGCATCTTAATTATTAAAGCGTGATCTTTTGTTGGTGTTCGAGTTACGCTGATCGGCTACTGTAAATTTTAATACGAAATTCATTCAAGCAGCATATTCATAATATTTTTAAAACTTTGCTTCTGAGCCATCATTTTCACAGTCAAAAAAAAAAAAAAAGTCATTTCCACCCACTTTGACAAATTATAGATGTTATCATACTCATCATTTTTTATTATAAATTTACATATTTGTGACAAGTAAGAGTTTTACTTACAGCGAAGTATTTGACAGTAAATAGTATGACTCATATCAAGTCTTGTCCACTTTCTATAAATTCCAGATTCTGGAATATTCCACATTGCAAATGTTTAGTTTGTATTTATTTATATTAAAGACACAATAATAATTTAGAAAAATGCAAATGGACTTTCAGGTTAGAGGTTCAAACTAAATTCTTAGGAGGCTTTTTAGAGAACAACTTTACTTTCATTTCATTCCATATCAATGTCACAAGCATAGCTTACATATTCTTTCTAAATTTTGGTTTTACTTCACTACTGTAATTCAATTACTAGATTTTAGTTCTAGAAAATAAATAGCTGATCATTTCTGTCTTTAGAAAAAATAAAATGTTTCGTGTTTGTATTTAGAAGAAAACGTCCGCAAAAAGGATAAATATGAAATGCTATCATTCAAAAGATATATAACCTTTTCAAAAAGAAAGACTAATAATGTGTACTTACCGTCTTCCACCTGTTCCGGCAGCACCACGTGGTGATCCTGAAAGAATATAAAATATAATTAATTTAATTTTTTGGAATACACGGAGGAATTTTTAACATTAGAAATTAATGTTAACCATTAATGCTGAAACTGCAATGGAAATTCTTTTCTATATTTGAAACAGTGCTTGTTTTTCAAAGCGGTAAATGCATGGAATATATCTTAATTTAGGCAAACAAATCGAAAATTGGAAAATATATTCTTAACATTTAGTTTCCAGTACACAATCCTTGGAAGATTTCTCCGTAGGACTCATCTTTTGGAATACTGCTTAGGGTTTCACAAATGTCTTCCAAGCTATTAAAATAATTGTCCTTAACGTGAGACTTCGCTTTAAGGAAGATAAACATACAAATCGAAAATTGAAAGAAAGTCGTCTTAGCACTTAGTCTTCAGTATACAATGCTTGGAAGATTTCTCCGTAGGACTCATCTTTTGGAATATTGCTTAGGCTTTCTTAAATCTCTTTAAAGCTATTAAAATAATGATCTTAAACGTGAGACTTCTTTTTAGGGAAGATAAAATATTCTGAAAATGCCACATTTGGTGATTTGAAAATTGTCACTCCTTTTCCTTGCTAGAAACTACTTGATGAAAATGGAATTGTTTAACGGAATATTGCAGGGAAAGTAAGAGGGCAGTTACTCTATTGAACTTTTTCTGGCCTAACGCGTGCTGCCAAGAAAGTCCTTCATAAATTAGCCCTTCAAATGTCTGTCCATTACCATGAAAAAGATTATCACTCGAACAGGTTTCAATGTACTAGAATCAAACTTGCTCTTTAAGTGTATATGCGCCACCAAACATGATGCTGAAATCAACTACTTTTATGAAAACTTTCTTGACATAAGTAATTATACTCTTTTACAAAATCTACTTATATTCTTCTGCGAAAAATGACGGAAAACAAATAATACCTGGTCATTTATTATTTATTGGTCTTTACGTAGCAGAGAAACTTAAAATATCACTTAGTCCTAATTCATTTTTTTCACTTTCAGAACATTTTGTGAGAGGGAAACTTTGAAGTATCCTATTCGCCAAAATATAACATAGGTACTAATTACATGTAAGATGATACTATGCTTTAGAAGTTTTACAAGAAACAGGGAAAATTTTCTTATGAAATATATTAGCCGTAAAAAAATTCGTAACCAGCTCATATATGCGATACGTTCTGTAAGTAGATAATTAAGTAGTCTAATATCATATTTTGAGGTGCAGTTTCCTTTAAGATGAAAATTCAAGAATAAGTGATAAATTACTTAACATGCAGGAAACCATTTAATGGTGACCAACTGCCTAATATAACTATCTCTGATAATTATTAATATTTCTAAGAACATTAATGAATATTATTGGATGCGACTTCTCTAAGACGGCCACTTCATCAGAAGACCAAAATTTCCCGGGATCGTGAATGGTCATTTTAGAGCTTACTGTAAACATCGGCATTGATTATAGCCTCTCAAAGAGCCAGACACCTTTACAGGAAGTCAAAATTTCAGGGGATCATTGGAGGTTGTCTTAAGATGATCATTTTAGAGAAGGTTCAACATACTCTTAAATGTTAGACTGCTTATATAGTATGTGTAAGATTTTCAGAAAAATATTATTTAGAGAAAATCATCAATTTATATTCGGGCCAATACGATAGTTAGTTATCATAGACATTATGTTAACTTCAACTCAACGAAATGCAGGCAGTTCAGCCCTTTTGCGCCTAACGGGACACATACGCCCCAAGAAAATTTCAAAAAATGCTTTTGGGACAGAAACGCTTCTCTGTCTAATGGGAGACTTTCCCAACAGTCCTGCCAATATTTTTGAACGTATTTTCATTCACAGAACATAGATGGCATTACCGTACATAATGCAATTCCCGCGTTTTTGAAGTGTTGTAGTAGCTCATTCCATACTGTACGAACGTAAATAGTTTAATTTTGAAAAATACCGCCCATTTTCGATTAAATTTTAATTGATCCATAAATTTAAGGCCAGATAAGTTACTCACGAAGTGGATTACCTCTAATAAACTGGTAAGTGGCAAAGTTTTACCGTTTTTATTATCGGGACATATGTGTCCCTCTCGTCTTGAATAGTGGGAACACATTGTCCCAACAGTCCTCTTGATATTCTATTTTTCGATTACTTTTGAAATAGTTGCTTATTATTTGAATAAGTTTGAACTTTTGAAGTAGTTGCTTAGGCACAAACTAATTCAATCTAAAATGACTCGACGCCGGGAACTTACTAATTAAGAAATCAAAAAAAAAATTTAGAAGAGTCAGATAACGAAGATATTGATTTGGATGATGAAATAGACGATCCCAATTTTCAAGATCCAGCACACAATTTGCAGTACTCATCCGATTCAGACGAGTGTGAAATCGATATCGATCATGATACCATTCCCCAAAATACAAAGAACAGCGATGCTTTGAGTGATACTGATACGGCATCACTTTCATCAGTTGATGAGATACCATCAGCTAATGTTTCAGGCTGCAAACCAATCTTATGGTTTCATGCAGATTCAACTTTCCAACCTCGAATGACAATTCCAGCAGAGTCATCGCTTAGTTTGTTATTCAACTTAAATCGTTCAACTATCGAATCGGACGTGTTTCTCAAGATATTTCCAAAAAGTCTTATGATTTGGATTTCTCAATGCACAAACAAACGACTCGAAAAATTAGGACAAACAATTCACCCTACAGACTCCTCTGAAATTATACTTGTCATGTCTTACAATAAAGGTGCCGAAATTCTCTCATTATTGGTCATCTAATCCTTCTTTGGGAAACGTAGCAACAAAAAATGCTATTTCAAGAAACAGATGTAAAACGTTGTTGTCGAAACTATATTTTGCTGAACCAGAAAAGCCAGAAAATGCAAGTAAAACATATTACATTGGCGAGGTTGTTTCGTGCCTGAAACAAAGAGTGCCGAAGCGAAAGCTCATATCAATCTATTGATGAATCAATGGCGAAATTCAAGGGACGTTCATTCCTCAAACAATATATGCCGATGAAACCTGTGAAAAGAGGGATAAAAATTTGACAGCGACAGGATATGCATATGACATGGACATTTATTCTGGAAAAGAAACGGGTGAAGTTCAAGACACACTCGGGGAGAGGGTAGTATCAAAGCTAACGGAGACAATCCCAGGAAAAGACGTGATGGTGGCTTGATTCAAAGGAAGTGACGATGCTAAGTAAATGCCACGAAGCTAAATACGCAAAAGTAAGTCGCACCATGAAAGATGGAAGCAAAGAAAAATTTGAGTGCCCTGTGGCAATCGAATTCTACAACAAAATCAGACCTTACTGACCAAATGGCAAATGTCTATGAATTAGATCGAACATCTTGCAAGTGGTGGAAAAAAGTAATTTTTCGCCTATTGATGAGCGCAGTCGTCAACTCATGGATTGCGTACTGCGAACTCAAAGATCTCAAAACCAAACTTCTTGATTTCAATTTACCTCTTGCAGAAGCCTTGATGGCGTCCGGAAAGCTCAACACACAGTATCAACGCCGTAGAGGAACTGGACGCCCATACAAAACATCACGAAACTTACTCAGTGTTGGTGACCATCTGCCAGTAACAACAAAAACACGACGGCGGTGCCGTAAATGTGCACAACAAAAGAAGGAATCTCGCACTAAAATAATGTGCACGATGTGTAATGTCCCATTGTGCATTGATTGTTTCAAACCATACCATTCATAATTAAATTTTTATGACTGGAAAATAATTGGTTTCCTTTACAAAATTACCCATTGGACACATATGTTCCAGTGGTCAGGACTGATGGGACTTATATCCCGGTCCTAAATCAGTGTTTAAAATTTTCCTAAAAATATAACATCTTAGTTTTAGCATTACAGTGTACCCTACTCACTCATAGTTTATGCTACCAAAATTGTCCTATTGTAAAAAAAAAAAAAAAAAAAAAAAAAATTGCCACTCGTCGCGAAAGGGTTAGTTCTGACTATGTTGCGGAAAAATATACGAGGCATGTGGTTTCTCTTACCTTGTTTAGAGGAGTAATTCTAAAACTAACTGGTTAGCTAATGATAAGAGTTGAATTTTTATATTAGCTATCTAAAGAATTTTAAAATCATTTCAGAATTATATAGGTGAACCCAGCGATAAGTCGTTATACAGTTCACCACGTTCCTCCATGTTTAGCACAGTTCAAGTAGTGAGGAACATTATAAGGTTTTGTAGAAAAGAATTAGTATAATATTTTACACACTATCTAAATTTCTTGAGTTAAGACAACTACTGCAGTTCCGAATAATTTGGTGTTTTATAGATGTGATCGTCTTAGAAAGGCGTATTCAATACACATGTTTTTACATTCTCGGAAATACAAGGTACGTTACTCTTTCAAAGGTGGTCGTCACGAGAGGGTTCATAGTAAACTAAACTTGAAATGAAATTTTGAAACAAACAATGAAAACCTTGAGTATATAAAGAACCATCTCTAAAACGTTTATTCACGGTTCTGAATAATTCTTGTTTTCTATATAAGTGATCGTCTTAGGCTGAATTCAATAACGATGTTTATTTACGTTCTCAGGACTATTGGTTACTACGTATGAGGTAGGTGGTCACTACGAAAAGGTGCACTGCAAACTGTCCTAAATCGATATACTATCTATTTTACTATCGATATCCTAATCTATTTTTAATTATTAGGTTAACGATAGAATGAAATTTATAATTTTATAATTACATCTAGATGAGAGATAAAATTCAAATAATGAAAAATTACGAATAAGTCAAGATTATAAATAACCTAAAAAACATATTTATTTGATAAAAAGAAGAAACAAGAAGACAGAGACTGATTTTTTCATAACACACAGAATTAGTACGGAATGAGCACTATTTTATGAAACGAGCATTTAATATTTATTAGTTCTTTAATTTTACTATTCTTGAGGGATGATTTTTATGTCTACACAGACTGACATTTTTATTTATACAAAATATGTCTGAGGTGTATCAAACGGAAGGTCTAGGAGTAATAAGAAAGGAAAGAAAATAAAGTTGCATCTCAAATCTAAAAATACCGAGTAATAATACTAAGTCATGCTTTAACTCGCTCACAGCCTGAGAGCTGAATCAAAAAAACATTTCGGAATAAGCAGAAACAGAAGACGAAAGAAGAAAAAGACGATATTAGTTTAATTGCTGAGAAGCCGGAATGCAAGTAGGAAAGGGAGTTTCAAATATTAGATGTTTTGGTGAAATAGTGATTAATGCTATTCCTAGATATACACTGCGGGAAGGGGAAAAAAAAAAAAAAGACAATTTTCCTATAGTTTCCGTTCTACTGGGCCGATGGACAAAATTCAAATTGCGTTTTCCCATGTCTCGAAAACGCGACTTAGGATATATATTAGATTTATAAATAGCATTGTTCTAACATAGGTACTTTGACACAAAATCGGACTTTTTCTGAAATATTATACCAATTTTTTTCCATATTTCGATTCTATGACTCAAATTATGCCTAGATATTAAATTTTGTGCAAAATTTACGAAGAAATTCAAAAATTTATATTGGCGCAATTTTTTCAGTTTGCGCCAAGAATAACTTTTTAATAATAACTTAATAAGAAGAAATAGAGTAACACATAGCGCACTTTTCAATATATGGCAACCAATTATCCTTTTCTATATGCCGAAGCGGAAAAAGGGCACTTCGTTCCTACTTTTATACACTGTGCATGAGCTGAAAAAAGTCACATCGTTCTTAATTTCAAATAATTTTAGCAAAGTGTCTAAACTACATTTGATATTTTATCGCTTTCAACAAATATGTCAAATTTCAAAACGTGCCAATATTTAAATTCACGTATATCTTCGAAAATTTTGATTAAAAAACTGTAATTTTTTGCAGGTATGCTTAGAAATACGTCTACTTTAAAATGACGGTAAAAATTTTATAGATTATAATTCAAAATTTTTTCGAAAAATTTAAAAAAATTATTTAGAAATACAAATTTTAAAAATAAATCATAAAAAATGGGTGAATTTTATTTGGAATGAACCTAAATTTAGAAATGTGAAAGGGAGAATCAAATAAGTTTAAATAAAAAAAGAGAGATTCATAAATATATACCAAACTCAATTAACATTGAGGAGCTAAAATTTGGGGAGCTAATTTTTTAAAAACGACTCGTGCGATTTTTACAAAACTTGGTAGTTTGGCTTAATTTGAGTCGTAGAATAGAAATATGGAAATTTGATATGTTATTTCAGAAAAAGTCCGATTCTATGTCAAAATACTTATATTAGAACAATGCTATATATAAATCTAATACATATCGTAAGTCGCGCTTTCGAGACATGAAAAACGCAAGTTGAATTTCGTCAATCGGCCCAGTAGAACGGAAGATATAAAACTGTCCCCCCCTTTTTTTTCCCGTAGTGTACATTTAATACTATTCCTTAGAGGTATTTTATAGCATTTGGCAGCTTAAATAACAGAATTTCCTCAAATACCGGAATTCACCGAAAGACAAATTCGATCCTTTTTTAGCTTACCAAATGCATTTTATTCGTTGAAAAGTGAAAATCAAACCATACATTATATTTTATTTTTATAGAAGTTTTTCAAAACGTTTGCAAGATGAAATATGTCGCGAATATTTAGCCGTAATGGCATGGTTTCGTTTTAAGAAATGAATCAAATACGTTGTAATAATTTTAGTCACGTGACATCTTTAAAAAAGTGTACAGAATTCGTATACCGGGATTACATCAATAAAAAAACTGCTTTTCTCAGCTAAACCTTCGAAAAACAATTTCTTTGAGAGGATTTAAACTATACAACTCAAATTTGATACTTTTAGATACTAGAAACATCATTTACTAGAATTTTTAAAACCTTCATCAAATAATATTAACCACTAATGTTCGTTTTTCGAATGTAATTTTCTGAAAAGTATCTTTTGCGTTTAGTTAAACATGAATATGGTGCACTTTATTTTCCATATGCAAAAATACTGGTATCATTAATTTTTTTCGACTTTAAAAATTAATGCTTTTGTCATAGTTTTAGTTAAGAAAAGCAGTTTTTTTTAACTCAGATAGTTTTCACATTATTTTCTGAGCCACTTTTTCACTTAACCGAAAAACTTTGTTTAAAATATTTTTCGTAGAATAAGACGTGGCTTACTAACTACAGCTTCCTTTGTGAGATTCATGAAGTCACGTATGTCATAATCGTGACTGGCCCGCATTTCAAGGTGCCCTAAAATCATTAATTTAAAAAAAATGTTAACACACCGTATGTCTTGAGATGAGTGGGTTTCCATAAGTTCAAGAGAACTGGGTGCTCTATTTCAAAAATTCGCCGCTGTCTGTAGGAATCATGTGTAAAAAATTCCAGGTTTCCATATTTCTTACTAAAATGTGTAGTCTGACTTAAAATTATCATAGTTTAAAAGCCTAAGTAATCCGATTCATTTCTTAAGCAGAAACAGAATTCTTTGTGATATTATTATTATTGTTTTTTTAATAAATAATTAGTAAGCAAATCTGAAAATTTATTTTAAATATTTTTTACTTTGTTAATAAAATATCTCAAATTTCTTTAAAAAAAAATTCTGTTCTGTCAGCTGTTTCCAGACTGTGAATTCGACCCGTATGCAATTTGAGTTTGAGACCGCTCATGTGATCGCGTGGTAGAGTCATCAGCACATCCTTTGGCAAAATGGAAGACTGGTTGAATTGCTTTCGACAGCGCAGTTAATTTTGCAAGATTTCCTGCTACAAAAACTTACACTTAAGCGACGTTGCCGAAAAAAATCAACTTTTATGTTATGAAAGATGGTTCATCTCTAAGAGCTATCGAAATACAGTATAAAAAAATTGAGACGGAAATCTTAAACATTCATCCATCTGGGGCAAGTGACATCACAATCTTTGAAACATTGCAGCTGTCAAGCAGTTACGGTGTCAAAACGACAGAATTTCATACAAACAGATTCATGAACCTCTAAAAACGGTCGAACGAATAATAAATAATATTCTTAACCAAAATTTGGAGCTACAAAAATTGCCCTAGCGACAAAAATTGTCAGCGGTTAAATGAAAAACAGAAGACTTACTTCAGGGATTTTTGTTATAGATTATTTCTCTAGATTCGATATTCCTTTTCAAAAATCCACAAAAAGAACAGAACAAAAAAAAAAAAAAAAACTTTTCTTTATTATTAAAAAAATATAATTAAATTATAATTATATTTATAATTTAACTCATTTTATAATTAAAAAAAGACCTGTTTTAATAAGTGAAAACAGAAAACATATTATATAGGCAGAAAAATTCATGCAAAATAAAAACAGGAAGCAGGCTGCTTTATATTTTTTTTTTATTTAATCTTTCGGTTACACAAGCTGTTTAAAATAGTAATTGTAAAAAAATAAAAGTGTGCAGTGATTTTAACGAGTGCCGCTAGAGTAGCTTAATACAAGTATTTAATGTTTTTGAAACGCATTTTTATTTAAATCAATCAGATTAAAAAGAAAAAAAATCGTAAGCGTTTAAATTTAATCAACAAACTCGGCATTATTGCAGCGTTTATCGTTTAGTTTGTTAATCAATAACAGACAGATTAAAATTGAGAATTAAATATCTTAAACTTTGCCGGTAATGATAAAAGCGGTAGGCAGCTGGTGCGTGGAAGATAAAAGCATTTTATTCATTCT